TAGACACAGAGAGTGAACCCCTTTTTAGTTGATCATTGGGTTCGCAAATGCTATCAATATATGGTTCGCAGACATCAATAATTACCACTGAATTACGCCAATAATGAGTTATTTAAGAGACCCAAACATATAAGTTGACATCTTCGCTAACATTAATCCCTCTCAATCAACATATTGCCGATTCCTGTCTCTAAAAAATCCATAAATTCTGTTCAAACACTGTATTCTGAAGTATTATTAGTCATACACTCAATATGTGATGAATGATTTGAAGGCTTAAATAGAAGTAAGAGTTTTGTAAATTCAAGTTATATTCTGAACACAATGTCTAATAAATACTTCAATACCTATTAAGAATTATATATGAAGGGTACGGAATGTAATTTTGACTACTTTTTTGATAATATGGGTCATAAAATGGAAATATATATGATATAAAAGTATAAGCATCATTTAGTATTGAAGACATTTCTCATCAAATATTGATCCAATAAAAGCGGATTTGCATTATTTATTGACTCTATATATGGGGTAAATATAAAGATAATTTTCATATATAAAGAGTTATAATTAAATGCATTTTCATATAATAATAAATTAGACAAATGAATGCAAAACTCCGGCCAAAGAAAAATAATCTTGTTATTTTACTTGTTCACTATTTCGCTGAGTCTTATGACATATAATATTGATTTTCTTACTTCTCGTTTTCACTTTTTTTTTGTATTTTCAAAAGGATTCCGAATATGTGTTAAAAATTCCCTGTTTTTTGCTTTTCATAAACTTTATGCTATACTAACAATGATTTATTTTATCAAATCCTTAAAATAAACGCAAAATACACACACTTTTCGATTGTTATGTCTTTATAACAAAGAATGTATTAGAAAAGCAAACAAAAAATTCTCACATTTTTTGTCTAAATACTTTTAACGTTTTGTAATATTTTACAATTTATCGCATATTTATTTACCATTTATTTAAATATTTAAGTATTGGACAAAAAATAATTTTTATTTGGGCTCAAAATATTTTGGCAGATTTCAATAGCTATGGGCTACATATAATTAAATCAAATGAAATCTGTGAAAATGAAAAATATTGAATCAAACCATTATTTATCGTTATACTGCACAGTATAATGCTAGCCTCTAATGAATGGCATATATAACTGTAAATACCGTAATATAATTTATAGATTCAATAAAATATATAATTAGAAAAGGTCTGCAACTTTAATTGTGTAAATGTAAAGCCAATACAATTCTTCTCACTATAATAATAACAACACTTATAATAATTAACTTTTTAAATATTTATCGCATTTAGTTTTAGCTATAATTTGTCTATTATGGCAATTATTTCCAGAAATATGTGAGAATTTGCTAGTTGTAAAATTTTGGATACAATAAAATAGCACATAAATTTTGGATTTAAAGCAAAAACTTAATATTTCTTAAGTAAATGTAGAAACAGAAATATAATTCATAATATCGTATTAATTCAGACAATTTGTGTTTTGAAGTGTAACGGCTGTATATTCTCTAATAGTCATCCATTTCCTTCCGGGCGTGCAATACATCACAGAATTTATTAATTTTTCACTTAATTGGAGTAGAATTTCGTTAATAATGCAATACTTTGTTCACTAAAAAAGTGAATATTAATGACTTACTTGTCGTCCACGATATTAAGTGGTATTAATTGAATGGAATTTATATAGAATTCATTGCCCGTAGTATTACTAACACTGTTTTTATAATCGATATAAATATCAATTTTAGTGATCTCTTCAAGTGGTCTATCGTTGGAGATTACAATTGAGGCCATACTTTGCGAACTGAACTTTAAATGTCTACAGAAAAAGGCGGATTAACTTTTTAAATATTTATCGCATTTAGTTTTAGCTATAATTTGTCTATTATGGCAATTATTTCCAGAAATATGTGAGAATTTGCTAGTTGTAAAATTTTGGATACAATAAAATAGCACATAAATTCTGGATTTAAAGCAAAAACTTAATATTTCTTAAGTAAATGTAGAAACAGAAATATAATTAATAATATCGTATTAATTCAGACAATTTGTGTTTTGAAGTGTAACTGCTGTATATTCTCTAATAGTCATCCATTTCCTTCCGGGCGTGCAATACATCACAGAATTTATTAATTTTTCACTTAATTGGAGTAGAATTTCGTTAATAATGCAATACTTTGTTCACTGAAAAAGTGAATATTAATGACTTACTTGTCGTCCACGATATTAAGTGGTATTAATTGAATGGAATTTATATAGAATTCATTGCCCGTAGTATTGCTAACACTGTTTTTATAATCGATATAAATATCAATTTTAGTGATCTCTTCAAGTGGTCTATCGTTGGAGATTACAATTGAGGCCATACTTTGCGAACTGAACTTTAAATGTCTACAGAAAAAGGCGGACTAACACTGTTTTTATAATCGATATAAATATCAATTTTAGTGATCTCTTCAAGTGGTCTATCGTTGGAGATTACAATTGAGGCCATACTTTGCGAACTGAACTTTAAATGTCTACAGAAAAAGGCGGTAATTATTAATGAGTTAAGAGAATTGCATTTCAGTTACATGTCATACATTACCCACTCTTATCATTAAATGTGTTTTTATATGAATGAAGTTTTATATGAAGGTTCCCATCAGCTCTAGATTTGCTTGAATGTGCTGTTATTCGTACCAAATATTGATAAACTATAACAACAAGTAGGAGTTTTTAATATTTAATAGTAGGCCTCAAAATGAGTATCGATTTTTCGTACCACAATAGGGCTGTCTATCATTAGTTAGAATATAATACTTATTATCAGCTTTTCTATAGACATTGCGATGAGTATTGAGATCAGCATTAAGTCCCACAACAACACAGTTCTCTCCACTTTGACCGCACATCCAACACAGGCCTGACATGAATTTATGCCAACTATCGCACCGATAGGCCACTGGCCTACAGGCGCTCTTAGATGTCAACAGGAAATCTGCATAATAGTCGAGGGCTCGCTTGTGGTCACACGAAAGGGTCTCAAATAAACCTTCAAATTTAGTAGTCATTAATTGACACCAACTTATAAATGAGTTACTGTATCTTAAATGCTATACAAATTTACAAATATAGCAAACCATCTAATATGCCGTCGTTTAAAGCCGTGTCAAAGATCTGGTAATCACAACCGGGCTGTCGGTTCCCACCATTAAAATATATGTCTATATTTCCTATTGGACTCGTTGTTCCCATGTCTGAAAGTATTATTTATTCATTCAATCAAATTATGCTACTAATTATAATATTTCATTGATGTAGAATAACAAATTTACAATATAATAAGCATTTATGAAAATATCTCACAAGATATTCTGTATAAAATAAAAATGTTGACACTATATAATTATCATTTTTAGTTAGATTTATATTTTCTATAAAAGTATGAACCAAATAATAGTAAAGTATTGCACAGAATATAGAATAATGACTGTATTTTCTAACAAAATGCTTTAAATGAGTCCATCATTGTACTTAAATGGTTAAAATGATTATAAATTATCATGATGCTATACTTTAAGCAGCATAAGTCTTACTTATACTGTCAATAGATAGTTTTTAAAATCTTTTAAGCCATGGAAAATACACTGCAATACAAATGAATGCTTCATTAGATATCCGTAAGAAAAGTTGTTGTTTAAAATCATTTGTATGACAAATGAATACAGAAATCATTGAAGGCTTAAATTGTAATAAAAAACGACAAAAGAGTCTTTTGCTTTCGTCTATACATAAATCACAACTAAAGTAATGCCAAAAAATATTACAGTTACCGATACTATTGGGAAAAGGGTTTGTAGAGAAGTATCCAATACTGTATTGAAATGATCCAAGAGATCCAGAGTTTGCATTAAATGTAAATCACTTACCATTGTCTGTATGGTATGAGTCAATAAACAGTGCGTCCGATGAGTCTAAGCGCACGCCAGCGGATACGCCATCGAAGTAAGGTTTGGCCGCATCTAAGGCTGTAATACGGCCTAAATTGGGCACTAATTTGCCCACATATCCAGATATATGGGCGCCTAAACTAAAGCCAATTAAGTGAAACATGTCTGTCCGGGCTTTGCGTTCATTCTGTCAAATTTATTCATTAATTAGTTATCCTTTAATTAGAATTCATTTACAGATAAACCAATTATTTAATTATATTTCATTATAACACACTAAATAAGAGTTTGAATGAAATTTTGTATATTTTTATTATGAAATAATGAGTTTTTTGATTTTCTATATTTTGATCACGTTATCCGATTATGTAATTAACTTACCACTAAATATTTAATGAGCAAGGCAATCTGCGAGGCGACAACTCTACAGTTAGCAACTGATTGAAAGTATAAACCACTGGCCCCTCGAGTCCATTGCACTAGTATTACATTGGAATTACCGCTATTCAAGAGGCCATCCTTTACCACTTCAAACGAATTCTTCAATATATAAAAGCCATTCAATTAGTGTTGACATCAAATACATGACAACTTGTGTTCATAAATCTTACGTGTGAGAAGCCGTTCACTAAAAGTCCCGCTTTGTAGCCATGGATCACAATCCTTGTTTGTAATGACGAATTGAATTTGATATTTTTGAATAAATATGAATCCAATGCCTGAATGGTTTGCGGATTGTTTGCATTAGTTAGCGAATAAAACAAGAATTCAGTGCCAATTGTTTGTGGCGATTGTGGAAATGGATTAATCGGTCGGATAGGGTTGGCACCAAACACACCATCATTTCTAAAGCATCCCAACTCTGTGTAACAAACTTGTGGTGTTTGCGACGTGAATATACCCAGCATAGGTGCCACCATATCAAATATATTGAAAATATTCTGGGCATCACTCGTACAAAATATAATAACAAAACTAATGCATACTTTGACCAACATTTCCATAAGTATATGATGTGAATATGAAATGCAAAATAATCGATATATTGACCACTGATGAAATATCTCTTGAAATCAAAGCAAATGTTTGCCATATTTAGCGTCAAAGTGAAGAGGAAAGTGTGTTTCGATGCTTATTATACTGTAATCTCTAAATCGTTAATATTATTGCCTATAAATTGTTGACCGAAAGCACTGTTTTGAGTGCAAAATCTATTTGATTAGGAATTAGAGTGAAATTGAAAACTAGATCATTGGTCCTGAATTCCATTCATTAATAAAAACCCGTTTTGTTTAGCTTTTCTTAACTCTATTCTTAACTTTATTTTTGATTACAACTGTAGTCACAGTACTTTGAAATACAGTAGCAGTAACAATAATAATGTATTGTTAACTTTAATAAGTCTGTAAATTTATAACGTAAATGACAATCTTAATTCTTGTTAACTACAATTACACTAATATTATTCTAAGATTATAATATTTCTTAAGCAAACAATAAAGTTATAAATTTAAAATTTGGTTTTCCAATTATATGCGGGTAAATAAATAAATTTGACATTTATATAGAATTGTTTTTCATAGAGTATCTATGTTTACAATAAAGATGTTTACAAATATCTGTATAAAGTTTTATCTAATTCATGAATGATGGAAATTCTTATTTTGTTAGAAACTTTATAAATTTCACAAAACTACCCAAACTGTCGAGAGTTTCATTAGAAAAACTTTATTCACTATATTTGGGTTTATTAAGAAAATCTTTAATTTATTTAATAATATTTTTATTTATTTTTCAATTAAATTACTATATACAGAATTCTTAGTAATTTACAATTATTTGTATAAATAACTTATAATATACTTACTAACTTATTATAGGCGGGTATTAGGAAAAGGGATTATTAATAAACATAATATTTATTTTTACACTTCATTCTTAAGTCAAAATTGAATTTTCAAAATAAATAATACAAAAACACATATTAGTCTTAATGTAAAATACATTTACGCTAACTATACATCATAATTATGAAGCAAAAATTTATTTATACAATAAAACTCTATATTTAATAATAAAACAAATATTATTCTTGTAATTAGAGAGACTTCGACGACAGACAATCACTCTTAGGCTGATTCTGGACTCCATTCCTATTCCTCTCAGTTATGAGTAATTTGAGACCATTTCTGGTCCGCAATACCATTTCGCCGACGATATAGAGTTTGTCTCTTTGATCGACGGCTGAGATGTGAAAATTGCGGACAATTTTCGAGACCACAATCTTTTGCTCCAAGAAAGCGAACTTCTGACCGATACAATTGCGGGGACCGGCGCTGAACGGGATGTAACAGTACGGGTGCCGACCCACACAGTTCTCGGGCAGAAAGCGCTCCGGTATGAACTGCTCCGGGTTTGGGAATGAGACGGGATCCCTGTGCAGGACATATGTGAATATTCCACACGACGTGCCTTTGGGTACTAAATATCCGTCTGATTGTAAATAAATGACATTTTGTTTATTTATAGCAAATTAGACTTAATTTATGTCTACAAATGAATTACTTATGTAAGTGTCTTCACTCAACTCGCGACCAATGAATGGTGCGGTCGGATACAGGCGCTGCACTTCTTTCAGCACACACTCCAAGTACTTCAACTGTTT